TTTTGTCAAGGAGATAAAATTTACATGAGAAACATTAATAAATGATAACTAGAAAAATTTCATTTCCTGAGAAAACGCCATGTGAATGCTTATTGCTGAAGCACTTGCTGAAAAACAGCTGAAATTAGCTTTAAACATGCTGAATTGTAGCTGAAATACAGAACAAGTCTAAGTTAACAGAAGAAAGTAGAAAGAACACATAATTGTTGAATTAGGTTTAAATAAGCAGAAATGAACACAGAAATTATGAAATTAGCTATAAAAAAATCTGAAATGAAAAAATAGATGAAAAGTAGCTGAAAAGTCAGAAAGAAGTTTAAACTACCAGAAAGAAGTGGAAGGAGCTGAAATGAGCTAAAATTTTTGGAATTAGCTGAAAAGTCTAAATTAGGCACAAAGCAACTAAAAAGTAGCTGAAATAGCAGGAAAAAGCCAAAACTAGGAGAAAAAAGCTGAAAGGAGCATAACAAGCTGAAATTAGCAGAAATAAGTTAATTAGGCTGAAAGTAGCAGAAATCACCATAAAAAACTTGAAACTGTCTGAAAAACGCTGAAAGGGACAAAAATGCTAAAAAAAAAAAAAAAAAAAAAAGTAGGTGAAAAGGTAGAATGAGCTTAAACTAGAAGAAGATAGCAGAAAGGACACATTTGTTAAAAGGAGCAGAAATGAGCACAAAAAAGTGGAAATATCAGAAAAAAGCTGAAATTAGCAAAAAACAGCTGAAAAGTATAGCTCAAAAGCAGAAAGAAGCTTAAATTAAAAGAAAGAAGTGATGAGAGCACATTTTTTGCTGAAGAGGGCAACAAAAGTTTAGAAGAGTGCAAAAAAATATGGAATTAGCTGAAAATTTTTAAATCTGCATAAAAACAGTAGCTGAAATCGTAGAAAAAGCTGAAACTTGCAGGAATTAGCAGAAATAATTTAGAAAAAGCACAAAAATGTTGTAGTTAGCAGAAAAACATGTAAAAGGATCACAAAACATCTGAAAAAAAAGCTGAAAAAAGTTAAAGTTTGCACAAGGAAGCTGAAATAAGCTGAACCAGAACAAAATGTGAAAGGAGCAGTAAAAGGTTATAAACA